CAGGTGGCCCGAGTCCGTGGGGCTGCACCCGTGGGTGCTGACATGCGGGCACATGGCCCGAGTCCGTGAGGCTACACCCATGGGTGCTGACGTGGGAGCACGTGGCCCGGGTCGTGCGGGGCTGCGCCCATAGGTGCTGATGTGGGCACATGGCCCGAGTCCGTGAGGCTGCACCCGTGGGTGCTGACGTGGGAGCACGTGGCCTGAGTCCGTGAGGCTACACCCATGGGTGCTGACGTGGGAGCACGTGGCCCGGGTCGTGCGGGGCTGCGCCCATAGGTGCTGATGTGGGCACGTGGCCCGAGTCCGTGGGGCTGCACCCGTGGGTGCTGACGTGGGAGCACGTGGCCCGAGTCCGTGAGGCTGCACCCATGGGTGCTGACGTGGGAGCAGGTGGCCCGGGTCTGTGGGGCTGCACCCGTGGGTGCTGACGTGCGGGCAGGTAGCCCGAGTCCGTGGGCCTGCACCCGTGGGTACTGATGTGGGAGCGCGTGGCCTGGGTCGTGCAGGGCTGCGTCCCGTCCGTGGGTGCTGATGTGGGCACGTGGCCTGGGTCCTACGTGGCGTTGGTTGGATTCGGGTCTGGTGGGCCTTGAATGCTGGCCTGAGTGGCCCAGCTTCAGTTCTTTGGGTCCTGGGGTTCCAGAGAAACCTCAGAGGACCCAGTCTGGCCGTGGACACGGTGCACAACGGCTTCAGGGTGACAGTGAGTTATCGACAGAGACCCGGCAGGGGTCGGGAGGGAGCGAATGACGTAAAACAAAAACTGTTGCAAGTTTCAAAAGCGCATGCGCTCCTCAGAGGATGTATGAATTTAAGCTGGCTGCTTTTATAAAAAAACTTTAACAAGTAATTGCTTTATAACAAAACCTAATGTTTTTTTCAGAGACCACACAGATTGAAGACCCCAGAAAACAGTGGCGGGGGGAACAGGAGAAGATGCTCAAGGACTATCTCTCGGTGGCTCGGGATGCGCTCAGGACGCAGAAGGAGCTGTACCACGTGAAGGAGCAGAGGCTGGCCTTGGCCCTGGATGAGTACGTCCGGCTAAACGACGCCTACAAGGAAAAGTCAAGTTCTCGCACGAGCTGTAAGTGCAGTGTGGCCACCCAGACGCCGTGGAGCTTAGTTCTGAGTCTCGTCCCTCGAGGAGAGCGGGGCCCTCCCTCAAAACCCTGGCCAGGGCAATGCAAGCGCAGACGTCTCAGCGAACCCCTCAGCCCCGGCCCAGAGACGACGCTCAGTGGGGAGTCTGGGTCCTTTGCCTCCTCCCTCTGCCCGACTCCCCCTTCTCTGCTTATGAGCCAAACGAATATGGAAACAGATGGAAATCACAACCCTTGCTGCTCTTAGCGGGGAGGAGCTGAAACTCTCCATCAGAGAGAAGTTTCTATTCACCCCGCGGCGACTCACCTCACTCTCAGCACAGAAATAGGCCGCGGGGCTCTGGCCTCGGTGACACACGCCACCAAGCGTGACAGGCGTGGCAGGTCTCAGGCTCTGCGGAGCCAGGCGAGGCTCGTCCACATGGAACCTGCAGCAAGGCCCTCTCAGGTCTCATGCGGGAGGAAATTCAGCGCCGGGGTCTCTAGGTCATTCCTCTCTCCTGGAAGTTAACGAGAAATTATTTTTTTATATTTAGACGCCTGATGAGGGACAGTGTAGGAATTGCCGGGTAGTTATGCCCAGACGTATGTACCATCCTAAGCTGAGGACTTAGCTTTGTGACCTGTAAAAGTTACTTCCCCTCTCTTTTTCTTCTCTCCTTCCAAAGTATTCTCAGGATCTTCATCCAGCACTAAATACGACCCGGATATTTTGAAAGCCGAGATCTCCACTACACGATTGAGGGTAAGATTTTCCAGCTGCGGTTCTGCATGGAACATGCACCCAGAATCTGAAGGTGGTGGGAGGGGCTGTGTGTCTCCGCCATCTCTCTGCACACCACTGCCCGCCCCAGCAGGGCGGCTTTCTACCTGCTCGGCCGAGCTCGGCGCGGGGAGACGGCGTGCCCGTTACTGGGCTGTCTGCTATTCGCCGTGCCTGAACCAAGAGTTGAGTCCCAGGAACTCACGTCCCTTCACCCTGCTGCTTTGCGGCCTCCTGCAGGCTCTCCCGTCAAACAGCCCGGTGCTTGCAGAGGCCCACGGCTCTCGTCCTCAAGTCGTTTCTTTTCTAGGCCCCACTCACAGCCCCTCACGCTTGCTCGAGGGCGGGTTCCCGCTCTGCGCCCTAAACCTTCTCGAGAATGAAGAGTCATACTCATATGTATGTCTACTGCACATGTGTTTTAGTGCACGTATGTGCACACTTTTTGTTGGTTATACAACCGAGAGTAGAATTGCTGTGTCAAAAAGACACATGGCTTCAGCTCAGTGAAAGCTGACAGATGGTTTCAGGCCTTTTCATTTTCACATATGTGCCCGGCAAGCCCACCTCCCTTTGAGCGCATGGCTTTTTTTTTTTTTTAGCTTAATATGTATATTTTATTTATTTATTTTTAAAAATAATATAACAGTTTATTTTTACATCATTTTGTACATTTTTTTTTTCATCTCAATTGTGATCCCCGTGGGTTTCACATCACCGAGTCACCGCTGTGAGCACATGGCTTTTGTCTACATTCCACAAGTTCTGAATTTTGTATTTTCATTATTCATCAGTTCAAGATATTTTCCAACATCTTTATGAATTCTCATATGAGAGTGTTGCTTAATTTTAAACCACCAGGGATTTTCTTTTCTCACTGATTTCAGCTTTATCCCACGGTGTATTCTCAGTTCTAAAACTTTTTTTTTTCCTCCTAAAACTTCTGTTTGACGTTTTTCTTATTTCTTGCTACAAGCCCAAATTCTGAACTTTGATAGTTTTTTGAACAAAATGTAATGACCTTATTACTTTTAAAATTCAAGTCTTTTTTAATTATCTAGGTTTCCTACCTGTTGAATTCTTATGTTTGGTCTGTTTTTTCCCACTTGGTTTGTGATAAACCTTTCACTGCTTACAACTGCTTACTTTTTAGCAAGAGACACATATTATATATGAAAAGGCATAAAGATAATGTGCGGTGTGGGGAGGATTTCGCCCGTCCGAGAGTATTGTGATTTTGCTCCCTGTGGGCAGTTGGGCCACAGCAGGTCATTTGAATTTAATCAAGGTTTGAGTTATCTGGAATCTGCCCTTCGTTCCTTGTGAAGGGTAGGTCTGTTTCCAGCTTACTCTTTCTTTTAGGGCAAAGCTTTTCAAAGTCCCATTGAACTCCTGCAATATTTTATCAGTGCCCCTTCTGCTTAATTGAGTCTGAGCTCCAGCTCTCTCCCCCACGCCTCTCAGACACATGGGGTCGCTTTGTTCACCTCACTGCATTATTTGAATGACAGTTTGAGGTAATTAAGCCATTTCATCTGTAAATACTTCACTGTGTATTGGGGAAAGCTAAGGACTTCAAAAATACATGTGTGACACTGCACACCACCACTCCCTCCAGAAGGTGGTAAAGAAAGTTGCCTCTTTGGAGAAGCCGTGCCACGTAAAGAAAGCCTTTCAGCCCTGGCTTGATTACTGTCGATGGCTCACACCAGCTGCGTCCGGAATTCGCAGCCATCCCGATGGTCTGAGAAACCCAAGCTGAATAGCTAGCGGAGGTTGTGGCCAGTTAGGGTAGATGACTGTGCTTCTAGGCGCCCGCAGGTCACAGCCCCGTGGGGGAGAGGGGGACGCCTACCCTGCACCTCCTCTCCATTAAGGTTCCAGGCACCTGAGCACTGGCCCCAAACGCCAGGTCCACAGAGAAACTCACTGTTAAGGACACTTCACTGGGAACTTGCAGGGAAAAAAACAGACGGTAGAATCGGATCCTCAAATCTTTGAAATTTTGTTGATTTTAGACATAGAATAAAATATGTGGGTATTAAACGTGTCTCCAGAAATAAAGAAGGGGCTGAGAACTTAAGTAAGGACCGTGTGATGACAGTGGCCAGGAGACTGAGAGAGAATGAAGCAGGACTTCCACCAGTTCATCTCCTGATGGTTAAAATGGCGAGCTGCCCGAGGGAAGGTGACTGCTGGAGTTCCACGGTCAGAGACAGGTGGCATCTGCAAAAACATGGGCCCCAGAATAGATGCAGTAAAAATTGTCAGATAATCCAATGAAAAATGACAAGTTAATAAGCATCAAGGGGGATTCCAGTATCATTCCGAAGACCTGATAGAGCAAACAGATAAAAAAAAATCAGTAACATGGGCCCTCCCTGGTGGCGCAGCAGGTTAAAACACAGCACTATGAAGCTACCACAGCGACTTCAGCATGAGATCGATCCCCGCCCGCCCCGGAGGTGACCACATGGCGCGGCAGACCTCTCCTGACCCGCCCGCTGCTCCCCTCAGCAGTGGACTTCCTCAGTCGGCCTGTCCTGCTCCCCACTCTGTCTGGGGAATCCTCTCTCCACCCCTGCACCTCTGGCCTGTACCCCAGTTCTGTGTGCATAAATAAATAAATATTTTTTAAAAAAAAAAATCAAGAACAGTAGCAATCAGGTGAACAGCATGGTAGACAGACTTGACCTAGTTGATGTATATACAAACCCCCCCACCCCCACCAAAGTGGGAAATGAACATCCTTCCTAAGCACAGTGGGAACAAGTGTGAAAACTGCCCGGGTACTGGGCTGTAACCCCACAGTACAGTACCGAGCAGACCACATTCTATGATGATAAAGAAATTGTTGAAATCCAATGGAAAGAAAGATCCACCCCGGCTTCACACCGTTGAGAATTGCTTGGAATCCCTGAGGCCAGCCACACCAGACCCCGGTGAGGTTGTGCTGCCTCCGGCGCCGTGTGGGAGCTGCTGGAGCGTGGCGTAGAGTCTCCGTGGCCTGGAGGCTGTTCGACCCGTCCTGACAAACTGCCTGTCGCCTCGCCGGACGCGGTGGCCGAGTGGGACGGCCTAGGAGCAGGTCGCCGGGGAGCAGACTGGACGCTGTGAGACCAACCGGTGGCCTTGCTGCCGCCAGGAGCTCATTGCCGAGTAACAGAGTGACGTCACGGGTGGTGACATCACGGGTGGTCATGCGGGGACACGTTCTGTAGCGGTGGAGAGGAGCCGCAGACTCGGCAACACAGCACTGAGGGAATGAAGCCAGAAGCGAAAGAACACTCCCTCTCTCGTTCCATTTGCAAAAGTTACAAAACTGTGTGCCCTGCAGAAGAGACCTTTGGAGAGAAAGGGAAGATCAGCGATTTGGGCGAAGTCAGAACAGCATCTGGGATTGTGCCAGCGTATTACTTCTTGAGCCTTTACCCTTTCCATGAGTGTTTTAACTGGGGTCATTCACTGGGTCTTAGCTTAAGGTCTTTTTCTTTTCCATATAACACGTACATCCACCGTTCAAACATTTCGAAGCTACGTAATGGGACACCCAGGCCCAGCGACATGAGAATGATAACAGGTCAACGATAGGCAACGTTCTCTGCCAATGGAAGTGCCTGCAGCTTGGAGAGCAGCATTTCTGAGTAGCCGCGGTGTCCTCTCCTCAGTGTCTGTTGTTTACCTCTGGCGGCTTTAACTTGGCTGCTGAGTTTTTGGATCTTCCTCTCTTGAGTCTGGGCTGGGCTGAGCGGTTACCTCTGAGGAGCAAGGAGAGAGGAAAATGGTAACCTACAGGGAAGAACCCTGTCAGCTGCCACCGTACCCAGGCGATGGAGGCTAATGCTGGCGGCACCAGCCCAGAGGTCCCGGGCCGGAGGCGCACATGGCGTGGCGGCCGGCCCGGGGTGTGTGCCTTCGTCCAGCTGTGCGGGCAGCGTCAGGCAAGCGCCGGACATCTGGCGTACGCAAGCGTCACAGGTCACTAAGGACGAGGGAAGACTGAAGAAGCGTCACGGATTGGAGTGGCTGAGAGATGTGACTGTCAGGGCGACGTGGCGCCCTGTGTTGGCTGGAATAGGACACTGACCTGGAGAGTCTGGGGGGCCTGTTCAGCCGTGGTTCCTGGTGCTCACGGCGCCAGAAGAGCCTTAGGCGTCTCTGTTGGAGATGAGAGTCAGATGGGGAGCACCGGACTCAGCACCGGAGCAGCAGTGTGAGCCCGAGACGGAAGCCGGGAGAA